AATAAAAAAAAAAATTCTGGGGTGGCAATACTTATGCCAGACAAAATAGACTTTAAAACAAAGGCTATAACAAGAGACAAAGTAGGACCCAGAAAGCCCACTTCTGGATATTTATCCAAAGAAACCCAAAATATTACTTTGAAGGAACATGTGCATTTATATGTTTATTGCAGTATTATTTACAACAGCCAAGATATGGAGGCAACCTGGGTGTCCATCAATGGATGAATGGATAAAGAAGAGATGGTACATATATACAATGGAATTTACTCACCCATTAAATCAATCAATCAATCAAAGAATGAAATCTTTCCATCTGCAACAACATAAATGGACCTAGAGGGTATTGTGCTGAGTGGAGTAAGTCAGACAGAGAAAGACAAATGCCACATGATTTCACTTACATATGGAATCTAAAGAACAAAGTAAGTAAAACAGAAACAAGCTCATAGATACAGAGAACATTTTGAGGGTTACCAGATGGGAGAGGAGTTGGGGGTGAAAACGGGAGATGGAATAAGAAGTACAAATTGGTAATTACAAAATAGTCACAGAGATGTAAAGTATAATATAAGGAATATAGTCAATAATATTGTAATGACTGTGTATGGTGTCAAATGGGTACTAGACTAATTGAGGTAATCACTTCCTCAGTTTTATAGACGTCCAACCACTATGTTGTACACCTGAAACTAATACAATATTGTATAGCAACTGTATTTGAAAAATAAAAAAAAAATTCTTAAGGAAAAAAAAGATCATTTCTGAATATTTTCAGGAGCAGCCTTGAGATTGTTTTTCTTGCTCTGGCTTTTTATTTCTAATATGTGTGCCACACTTACAATGCTTCACATGATCAGGGGAGATAAATTTGTCCTCAAACCTTGGATCTGGAAGTGTGGCATTGGAGCAAGTAATTGGCTTTCAAGATGACAAATCTATCTCTGAATTTCCACCTGCATCTCAGATTTCATTGAATTCACATCAATTTCAGCATCTTCACTGGAAAAACTGATAGAGGTATCTTTCCTGCAGGTCATAGAGAAAATACTTGCAGCTTCAAGGCACATCAGTCCAGTTAACTGCTTCAGCAGCTTCCAGCGAATAAACTATCTTCACTGTAAATATGACCATTGATTGATAATAAGCCCTGCTATGTTGGTATCATTATCTGCTAAGTACAGAATTAAAGGTTCATTGTCCAAATAACATTTTTAAAAATTACATTTTGTTGCTTTTACATATTGTTTGGCCTGCAGCTTGGAAAGCACTGTTGACAGTACCTAGCACACTGTTACTGAAGGAGTTCTTGTTTATTAAAAGGAGCAATGAGTCAAATTAATGCTTCCTCAACTTTAGTGATCCTCAGGAATTCTGATTTGATAGTTTGGGGTAGAATCCAGGAATTCACATTTCTAACAAGTCCCCAAGAGATGCAGCTGCTGGTGTGGGGCCTACACTTGGAATAGCTCTTGAGTTAAATAATGAGCTTGTCCCCTATCCACTATCTTCGGTTGTGGGTCCGGTTTGCTGAAGAGGTGTCCATCTGCTTTTCTTACTTAACCAGTTTCTAAGCTTCTTTTCAGTCCTCTGTTCTTTTAAAATAATAATAGTAATAATAATAATAATAATAATAAACAGCTTTATTGAGCTACAACTAACGTACTATACAATTCATCCACTTAAAGCGTACAAGCCGATGGTTTTTAGTATATCCACAAAGTTGCACACCATCACTGTAATTTTAGAATATTTGCATCACTTCTAAAAGAAACTCCATATCTTTTAGCTTTCACCTCATCTCTCCCCAGCCCCTGGCAACCACGAATCTAGCTTCTGTCTCTATGAATTTGCCTATTTTAGGCATTTTATAGAAATAGAAACCATACTGTCGCCCTCTGTTTTTAAATGTTTTCTTGATGGGACAGGAGCCCAGCAATATCTGTCACAACTGAACATGATTAGAAAAACAATTCTGTCGGGCACCAGTCTTTAAGAAATGAGGCTCTCTGGGATGATGTCTCTTCCTGAACAGGGTCAGTGGCATTAGTGGTAAAGGGTATTTGGATTTCAAAGTTTTTCTATTTACCGTTGTGCTGGCATTTGCTTATTTTACGTGGCCACCACCCCGCCTTTTGAGAATGACCCATTCTTTATTTTGGAGGACTTGTCTTCACTGGCGGAGCCTCATGACAATGAGATTAGGGCTCTGCTCTCTGCCATGTGAGGACATAGCAAGAAGGTGGCCATCTGGAAACCAGGAAGAGAGCTCTGACCAGAACCCAACCATCTTGGCACCCTAATCTCACAATTCCCAGCTCCAGACTGTGGGAAATAAATGTATTCCTTCAGCCACCCAGTCTCTGACATTCTGTTACAACTACCCCAGGAGACTAAGACAACCCAATTCATAAGACAAGGCATATGATCCAAGCTTGCTCCATCAGAGGAACTTCCCTGGATATTTTCAAATTAGCCCTAAGGGAAAGGAACTGTTTCTTTTCAGGTGTCTGAGCTGGGAAGATGCGAGCTCATGAGCTGCTATCAACCAGGGTTTCAACATCCTAGTTGAAACCTGCAGAGAGAAGCAGAGATGGGGAGGCAGGTAGAGTTTGAGGAGAGGGGATCCCCCTCTTGTCCCTGAGGTTCCCAGGGCTGCTTTGGTTCTTGCTTCCCTAGGACTTTGTTTGTTGATTCTGACCTCTAATCTAGAAGTAGAATGAACCTCAAGAATGTCTGAAGGCGCAGACCCAGAAACTCATGGGAACTTAACCTTTGATGTTACCAGTCTCGTGGCAAATGAGGGATGTGCAAGGGTTGTTTTATGTCCATCTCTTATATCCGGTGAGTAGGCAAGCAGGTAGTCAGGCTCTGCAGGATGATTGAAAGGAGCTAAGAGTGTAAAAAGATCCCAAGAGAAGAGGCGGGTGAAAGCTTCTCCCACCCAGCAAGATTCTCACTCTGTGCCCACCTTCCTTAAAGGGACCTCAGAGGAATCAAGGATGCAAGCTGCATTGTCTCCTGCTTTGTGAGGCTACTGGGCTGCAGCTAAGTTTCTGTATCTTTTGACATCCGAGAAAACATATTCCTTTAACTGTGTGCATGGGCATCTTTCCATTAATCACATCACTGTCCCGCTGAGACAAACCGTGCAATGAATTATCCAAAGATCCTTCCAATAAATTCCTTTTTACCTACAGTCCTTTTTGTTTGCTTTCTTGTCTGTTTCAAAAAAAAAAGTTCCAACTAATACAACTACTGATGCTAAGAAATTTAGTTATCATCCTGCTTATCTAAAGATAATGTACTCACTATACTTTTGTGTAAAATCTGACTATAGATAGATACCTGTCAATCAGAACACCATGCACCAGCCACCAATCCCAGAGGAGGACTCCAAACACCTCTGCCCACCCCACCTTCATACCAGAGTTGCCAAAGGAAACACAACACAGGCAACAACTGGATAAAACAACCCTTTACTTACACACAGAAGAGGCCGAGAAAGTTCAGCTTCAATAGAAGGTGTCTGTCCCCAGTGGCCAGCAGGTCTGCAGGGCAGCCAACACAGGGCAATTATTCTATGCACACCCCTCCAGTGCCACATCAGAAGGACCCTGGGCCCTCCCCAGGGAGTGTGAAATACTGAAAGCTGGGTGCATGCCTGTAGGCCATTGACATACATGCTTGAGTAGAATGAAGGAACACTCATTGAGTATAATACAGGGAAAGATGCCCACACAGGGCAATAAGCCCAGTACCAGCTGTGTGGGCTCTTCACCTCTTGGTAAGGACATGTTCCAGGCCAAGGCCCATTCTGAAATGGCCAAGCAGGGGTCAAAAGACTGTGCACATAAGACTGCCTTTCCCAACAATAACCATATCCATTGGAAACTTTGGCTTGCAAGATACAGAAAACCCAACTCAAACAGAATTGGCTCACATAACTGATAAAGTCTCATAGTGAGGGCCCGAGCTCCATTTGTGACTCTGTCCTATGTCTTCCTATGTAATACTGTCACCATTTTAAGATTGGAATTCCTTATGGAAACAACATGGGTCCAGATTTTCTCTCTCCTGACATTACTCTTCTCTAATTGGACAAACAGCATTCCTGAAATAAAGGGGAAGAAGCAATCTCAAAGACCACCTCATTGACCCAGGCTCTGTTTTGACTTAGTTTAGTTTGATAATGGTTGAACTTCAATTGCGCATCAGGTATTGTCCATGAATGAACACAGCTTTGCCTAGAAAAGACTCACAGTCTTCTAGTCAATACATAGTTACTGTGACTACAACATCAAATGCTAGTTTAAAGGTAACCCAAGAAGCAGAGGAGGGTACTTAGCCTAATCTAGGGTGTTGTAAAGGCTCCCTGGTCAATATTTCCTGTGCTTGAAGTTATTTCCATCTGGGACTTCAACTCCATACAGACATTCCATGAGGGTGAGGCCTGACCCCACAGCATCCACTTACCGTTAGCAGGGACTGGCTCTCATGCCATCCTAAGTCTGTTGCTGAAGAAGCCTTTGCATAATTGTATTTTAGCCAGTTAGTGGTTTCCTTGTTTCCATGTTCAGCCAGTTGTTTGTTCTCTTGTTATATTCTGTTTCATTAACTTCTGACAGCATAACGATCCTATCCTGCCCTCCTCCATTTGTTCTTACAGCTCCCCACCCTCTCCACCTACATGTGAAAACTTAATTTTCATTTTCCAATGTATGGAGACACAGTAGCACTTTTCAGAGCAAGTCAGCTGGTACTGGGAAGGTGAGAACTGACATTTTATTAAGTGCCAACTATGTGCCAGGCACAAGAGTAGAGTGATTATTTTTTTTTGCATCCAATTAATTCTCAAATAAGTCTGTGTGACAGATATATAACCCTGTTTTATAAATGAGGAAACTGAGCCCCAGAGAAGGTATGTTACTCATAGAAAGTTACACTGCTGCTTAGCAGAGCGACAGGAATCTATACCCAAGGCTGAGTTCCAAGTTTCTCCAAAGCTACACTCTCTTCATTACCCAGTGATTCCAATTTTGTTCGCAATAAAAATCATCTAAAGAGTTAAAACAGGGGTGGGCACACACACACACACACACACACACACACACACACACACACACTCAAGACCTTGACTTCACTGCTAAAGAGCCTTATTTTAAATGAGTGAGGCCTGGGCATCAGCATTTTCCTTCAAAGCTCCTTAGATGATTCTAATGAAAATCCAGGGTTAGAACAAATTGTATTAGAATGTGCTGCCTCCCAAACTATCTCAATAAATTTCATGAAACGAAGCAGAAGCCAGACAGCACTTCAATCTAGAAATAGCTAATAGTGGCACCCATACACAGTAATAAAGGGAACAGGGTAGTTTCACCTAAGACACTTCACTCATGCCAAGAGTTTACCAGAGGCCTGGGACCAAGACAGACAGCGCGAGTGAGATTCCAGAAGCCTGCTATTGACTTTGCTTCTGAGGTTGCCCATGACGGTTGGCTTGTCAGCACACGTCACAGATGCCCTGCCGCACATGCGCTCAGCCTTCCCGGGTTCACCTGAAGCTACGGGGGGAAGATAGGCTCACACGTGCGCAGCCACCGGGTCTCTCTGCATCTCTGCCCGAGGGCTTTCTCTTGTACTTTCGGAGCTGGCTCAGCCTACGCGCAAGGTGTCTGAGAAGTGCCAGGGATTTACTATCCCCAAGGGCAGCCCTTAACCAGTGAAGGACAGAAGCCTGTGGCTTAATACCTCAGCTTCCCATCCTCAGTGGGACGATTCGGATGCTGCTTGTTTCCCCAGAGCTTCATTTGCACCTGCTTATACTCATAACTCACCCTCTTGGGGACTTCTTCCCTATCCTGTCTAATGGTGTCACCACTCCCTCACTTAGGCTTCCTGACATCACCTCCCCAGTTTACTCCCTGCACTCAAATCCTAGTCTCAGGGTCTGCTTCGGGGGAACCATACTAAAACAACTTCCAGGTGTCTCATTTTTAGCCTCAGATATAAATAAGCACTAAGCCAGCAATGATACTAATTTATACATAAATACTACTTCGTAGCTTACAAAGAGCTTTCACAAATTCTCATTTTGATCACTAAAGGAAGAGAACATTTCCAAACACCATCACCAGAGGGTTTGGGGATAGATGCCGTGGGCTTTAATTTCTTCAGAGAAAAGTATCCCATTATCATAATAAAGACAAGAATAGATTAATTTTTCTCTTTATGCGGGTGCTCTGCTGACTCTATTTCACTATGAGTGGGTTCTTCACAAGAAAAATAGTCTATTCAAGCAAATATTAGAAATAATTCTATCATTTTATACAGGAATGTTCAAGCAGTTAGTGCAACAATGTCGGTGGTTTTATTTTTAACTTTTATCATTATGTAAAATTATTTGTTAAAATGTGTGTTGTGGAAACATTTTTCACTGACCTAAAAACAATTTAACATGGGTCACAGACTAGGGATTACAGAGAAATGCAACTTTTTTCTGTCTTCCTATCATTTAAATAAAAATGAGATAGAAAGGGGGTGATCATTGGCATTGCACCATAAAAAGTAATATACCTGTGCCATTTCTTTGCAACACACAAAAGATCCTCTGGGGTATTATAGCTTATAGCAGTCTTAGCTATAGAAAACTTTAAATAAAATCGACTGGCTCAAGGAAAGGATATTATTATTTTGAGAATAAGAATGAGCAAAAATGCCCAGCTCTCTCTGAGTCTAAATCCTTAATGAAAAAGATAATCCTGCAGTAGAAGAATTCGATTTAAGCTATTATTGTCCCATCTGTGCTGAGTCAGGGCTGGCCACCTTGCATTTTTCTTCACAGAAAGTAGGGCTGTTTTTTAGTAGAATTGTAATCTTTTCTCTACAATTTGGATCTTTTTGCTGCTGGTTGAATTTCTATTATTCCTATTTTAAAGCATTTTCTTAAAAACAAGATTAGAAGTTTTAAGTTTATACAGGAAGATACCACATTAATCATGTAGGATTCTTTTAGTTTTATACTTACTTTTCGAGAAAATCTAGATGACTTCTTAAAATGTCTAAGCTATAATATCCACAAATGAAGTCTCGAACTTCGAGTTTTTTCTCTTAATCCATTGGCTCCCGTCCTTAAATAAAACACACAATTTTATTCATCTTTTGCGGTCAGGATTTGGTCTAAGTGTTCATGACAAAGTGGGGTGCAAAATGGGTGTTTCCTCATTCAGGGTGATAGTGTAAAGGGGCAAATTGCTTCTCAGGAAAAACATTAAAACAGGAAAAAGTGCTGATCCTAATTGCATGGCTGAGGGAAAGGGCAGGCCAGATGTGGAAGCAGCATCTGTCTAGGCTCACTGAACAGAAGGGCATGCAAACTGAAGAGGTAGGAATCTGGGGACACTTAGAGAAGTTAGAGGGGAAGGAAGTGGGTGCGTAGAAAAAAGACACTAAGAATCAATGGAGCCCCCAGAGAGAAGCTGGATTTGCATATTTGACTTCCTCAGTACAGGCATAGCTTCCAAAATACATCAACAATTTCTGTTCTAGCCATCAGTCCCTACTGGAACATTCAGTGTAGAGAAGGAGAAACCAGTAGGTTGGGCTGAGTTTGTAGTCTGACCTTTTTATTCCTGAAAATAATAATATGGAGATGTTCACATGTTAATTAAAACAGTAGTAGTGTTCCAGATCGTCATACTAATTATTACTCCAGATTGCAAGAGGGTAAAATGTTAAAAATGTGTATATTCACTTGTTTTTCTGTGCTAAATTAAAATGACATTATCTTGAGGAAGTAGGAAGATGTAATGCCCTTTCCACATTTTTCTTTGGGACTTTTCATCTTTATCATTGATTTTTGGATTATGGATAGAAATCCATTTTTTGGGAAAACTCAAAATGCATTCACAACTTCTTTGAGGTAGATCTTTATCTAAAAGAGGTGATTATTTGTTACCAGCATTCCAAAAAAAAATTTATTGGGATTATTGCCCTCATCTGTGATTATTTTTATAGCTTATCAAATACCAACATTCTGGTCTGCAAGCAAGTTCAAGAGAAAAGCACGGTTTGAAATGGATAGTGTTGAGTTTAATAGAGAGGGCAATTTTGATGTTTCCTACCTGAGGACTGTTTGAGAGTCAGCTTAGTTCTTTTAAAATCATCCAACAGCTCCATACTGACTTGAATTTTATGTGCCGCTCGTGAGGATGTCATCATATTCAGATATAGCACTTAAATTTTACCCTGTGTTTTGAAACAATTCCTGTTTTCCTCTTTGCTAGGATAGACACAGTTTCGATATATGAATTTATATTTCTGAAGTTGTAAATAGTCAACTTAAGTTCAAACACTACCATATAACACAGAATACTTGTTTGTATTCTGTGTTATTTTCAAATACCAAATATTACTTCGAAATCATGCCTGCTATAACGTTCAGATGCGTTTTCTTTCAACGCTTGGAAATTATAATATTCTTGGATGTTCTATTTACCAGCTCCCTTTCTCCTACTGCTGTTTGCACGTCAGAGGAACAATGCAAGGTAAAAGATTTAAGTCATGTGAATGTTCCAAGTGGTGGTGACTGGAACTGGATGGGGGTGGGATGGGGTGGTGGGGTGAGGCACAAATGTTCCTAGGTCATTTTATTCAGAATTTTTTCTGGGCCTGCCTAACAGTTAGGTCCTCTGATATCAGCTAAAGCTGTCAAAATTAAATCAGTTGTGAAAACTCAAACCTCAGGAGTCATTCTTTATCTGAAAATCTGTAAGTATTATGCTAACTGTCCAGGCCCCCAGGAGAAAATCTGGTAAGACTTGGCAAAAGCAGATTCAAATTTTCTAATGCATGCTTCTCAGTTGGAAACAGATCACTTTTATTACTTTTTTCTTATTTTTCATTTGCAATTTGTGGACTCATAAATATTATACATAGTTAAAAATTGAATAAAATTCTGTGATTTACTTTTTCATAAATTTTTTAGAAAGTAATTGGCTTGTTCTCTGGTGCTCTCATGATATTGAAGATGAAAAATATTATAGAACCATTTTGATGGATTTTGAGGTTTTAAAAAATTTACGGTGGGGAAATTGACTCTGGAATGATACGGTTTCTGCTTTGGTATCTAAATTGTACTTTTTCTACCTCCATCCCCGCCCTAATGTACACACTCCATTCAATTAATTGCATTATGTATGGCAACTGGAGGGGAACATTCTTAGTGAAAGCAGCTCCTAATAGTGGAGGAGAGATATTCGTCCATCAAGTAAAATGTTTTTACCAGTGGTTTTTGAGTTTGCCGACTTAGGAGATATATTGCTGAAATTTTAACATTTATCTATTATGGGATGTTAGAAATAAATTTAGGTGCTTTCAGTGCATTTCTTGGTAGGCTACTTGGGTAGCCTCTGGCTTCCGTTAAGAGCACTAGTAGCTGTTTTCCTGTTGACTTTTCTTAAGCAGGCATTTATTCTTTCTAGTTTTTGTTACTCTTTGAAGGAAAAACTAAGTTCTTAAAATTAACTTTAGATTTGTGTGTGTGTGTGTGTGTGTGTGTGTGTTTGTGTGTTAACTGGCCTAGAAAATTCGTGAGTTTTTTCCATGGGTGACCCATCTCACCCACCAGTGCTGGAGTATTTAGACACATTTGCAAAAAAAGAGAGAGAGAAATAATTTTAAAAAAGGAAAAAAATCACAAATAAACATCATCTGGTAAGGCTTTACTCATCTTTCTGGCTTGCTTCAATCTTTCAAAATCCTGATTCTGAATTTGGTATTCTTTCCAGGCGTCATCTGAAAATTTGATCAGTTTGCCATCTCAAGAGAGATAGATGGTCTGCTAGACAGGCCTGTGCCTCACTTCAGGGAGCCTAGTAACAGGCTGTCTCATAAGAAGAACTTCAAAATGTTCAGCTGAGAAAGGTGACTGTTGTGTGAAAATTCCAGATTAGGATGATCCATGTCTCATTGACCACTAACCCAAGTCCTCCTAATTCCTGATGATGCACTCCCAACTGAGCGCATCCTGCCCCTCTCAACTTCTCAAGTACAGAGGAGCAGAGCCCTTCTCCTGGAGCCAATCTTTGATGCTTCCAACCCTGCCCTTCTATGGAAAGAGAAGAGTTGGGAGGAGGGCATATACAACGCATGTATGCCATTGTCTGTCACACATTTCACTGGCCCTCCTCTAAGTTTCCTCAATGAACCTGCCTTACTCCCTGCATTATGTACTGTGTGTAGTATTTGTCCCTGCCCTGGGATTGAATAGCTGTCATTCGATGTGGAGTAAACACAGCTTGACCTAATGCTTGGTCTTGGAAAGACAGGAAGGTTCGCCCGGGGGTGGAATACATTTTCTCTGGGGTTGTTGGCAAGTCATCTGGCTGAGTTGGAATGGCCAGTGACTAGGTGGTCACAGGGCTTATGCCCAAACCACAGAACCCCTGGATCAGGGTATCTGCAATGAACAGAAAACATGGGATGATAAAGCTGCCATAATTCCATCCCCTGATTCCTCCTCAGCAGTTTGGAGATCCTTTCGAACCCTAAAGATAACAAGGAAGGTATAAGGTGTGGTAGGCAGAAAAAAGGATCCTGAAGATGTCCATGTCTTAATCCCTGTGAAGACCTTATGTTGCATGGCAAAGAGGAATTAAGGTTGCTAATCAGCTGATTTAGACATAGGGGGATTATCCTGGATTGTTGGGTGAGTCTGATGCAATCACAAGGGTCCTTAAAAGTGGAAGAAGGAGGCAGAAAAATCAGAATCAGGTTGCACTGGAAAACTCATGTAGCTAAGGGAGGAGTGTGTGCAGAGGCTAATACCTACTGCTCTGTCTGTCATCATCCCAGGCCAAGTCAAGTAGTCCCTGCAGGGCTTGGGGAGGAGGCCGAGTGGCTCCCAATCACTTCTTGGGATATGGTTTTGGGACTTTACCCACATGCGCACTGAGAGCTCTGCGGAGCTGCGTGATTGGCTCTGTGTTACTTTTTGGAGTCTGCCTATTAACACAGTGTCTTCCCTGAACTCTGACAAAGTGTAGGAACCCTATTTAAGCTCAGTTAACTTCTGCCCCCGAAAGGAAGTTATGTTTAATGAACCCTGGAAGAAAACTCTGCAAGCTTTGAAGACCCGAAGGCTGAATAGGTGCTGGAAAACAAACTCTCCTGGCCAGCTTCTGACGTGAAGCTGTTGCCCTCACCAGGAGGCCCTTTTTCTCACAGACTACCCAAGGCCACTGTTACAGGATACCGTGCTCTCTGCCCTTCCAACTTCAACATGAATACATAGAGTATTATCAGGGTAGGGTCTCTATAAAACTCTTAGAAGAAAATCTAGGGGTAAATCATGACTTTGGATTTGGCAATGGATTCTTACACATGATACCAAAACACAAGTTAAAAAAAAAGAAAAAAATAGATATATTGGATTTCATCAAAATTAAAAACTTTTGTGAATTCAAGAACACTATCAAAAAAGTAAAAAAAAAAACCAAGCTACAAAATGGGATAAAATATTTTCAAGTCATATATCTGATAAGGGTCTGATATCTAGAATATATAAAGAACTCTTACAACTCAACAACAAAAAGACAAACAGCCCAATTTGAAAATGTATGAAGGACTTGAACAGACGTCTCCAAAGAAGATGTAGAGCTGGCCGATGAGCTCACGAAAAGATGCTCATCATTAGTCACTAGGGGGATGCAAATTAAAATCACAATGAGATACCATTTCACACCCACTAGGATGGCTATTTAAAAAAAAAAAAAGCAAAACTCAGAAATAACAAGTGCTGGCGAAGATGTGGAGAGATTGGAATCCTCGTACATTGCTGGTGGGAACAGAAAATGATATAGCTGCTATGAAAAACAGTTTGGCATTTCCTCAAAAGGTTAAACATAGAATTACCATATGGCCCAGCAATTCCACTCCTAGGTATAAACCCAAAAGAATTCAAAACAGGTGTTCAAACAAAAACTTGTACACAGATGTTCATAGCAGTGCTATTCACAATAGCCAGCAGGTGGAAACAACCTAAATTTCCATCAACAGATGAATGGATAAGGAAAATTTGGTATATCCATATAATGGAATACTATTCAGCTATAAAAAGAAATGAAATATT